TACTTTATTTTATTCCTTTGATTCTACTTGTTAAATAAAAGCTTGTTTTAAAAAAAAATTTTTTTTTTACGTTATTTTATTTTCTAATTTTTAGTCCATTTATAAAAGCGTTGTATATTAAAAAGTGTTATTTTATTTTATGTACAAAATTTTGCAATAGATATTAAAATAATTCAACTTGCAATGAAAGAGAACAGAGGACTATGCAAGCAAAATGTTTGCTTACATTTTGTATTAACATACATACAGTATTGGACATATCTATAGCACCCCCCTTTCAAAGCGATATTGTTGCCACTTATGTTTAGTTATTTGTTTTTAAGAATTTTCAATTAAAATACAGTTCATTCTCTAACAAAACCCATATAAACCCATGTTTTAAACTTTTTAAAAGACCGCAAAAAAGCGCAAGAAACTTTCCCTTAAATTTCAAACTTTTTTCTCAGAAGCTCTAGATTTTTTTTGAGTACACAGTTTTATAGCGCATTCAATTTTAGTCCAATAATGTGCAAGTTTCAAGTCGCTAAAGATTACCGTTGATTTTTTAGAATTTTATTTGTCTCATTTGCTTCCATATAACGACTAAACACAATTTATTTTTATATGGCAGAAACCCGCAACATCCTCGGCGAAAAAAAATCTAAAAAATCAACGGTAATGTTTAGCCACTTGAAACTTGCACATTATTAGACTAAAATCGAATGGGCTATAAAACTGTGTATTCAAAAAATTCTACCGCTTCTGAGAAAAAAGTTTGAAATTTGGGTGAAAATTTGTTGCACTTTTTTGCGGACTTTTAAAAAGTTTTAAACTTAAGTTTATGTGAGTTTTGTCAGAAATGAACTGTATTTTAATTGAAAATTCTTAAAAATAAATAAATAAACATGAGTGGCAAACAATATGACTTTGAAATGGGGGTGCTATTGTATTGGCCAATACTGTATGTACATATAGCAGCAGTTAATTTTATTGAAAGACATGGCGTGTCGTCCATTTCCGCTGTAGCATATGTAAATGGCATATATTTAGGCGCAATATTTAACTTCTTCTGGCGGGGCGACATCTGGAGTCTCTAATTCCTACAACGAGGTTCATATCTAGACTAGGTTGATATCTAAAATTTTGCCCCAAATAGCTTTGCTACACTATCGCCGGCAGCTTTAGCATATTTTTTGACCGCCTTTGAATCAAGACCCCTGGACCATATGGGGAATTCATTTATATATTAAATTGCATTGTCATCGTGATTGGAACTATGCTGAAAATTTCAAGTCTCTAACTTGTCGGGAAGTTAGTTTAAAACCGATTGGAAATTTCCGCGATTTCCGCGGATGACCAAGTTAAATAAAAGCTTATAAAAAGATAAGAGCCTGTCAGACGTGGCAATGCAATATATTTCGAAAAGGCGGTCAAATTGAGAAATTTCAGAAAGCAGTTTCATGAGATGTCACACCTTGCATGTAAAGTGAAAGACGTTTTTTATTTCCGAAAGCCGAATTGCAGATTGCTAGTGCAGCATGAGCAAGTTGAAATATATGTATTTCCGAAATCGATTTGGGCTCTCTCAACTGCAGTCACATCTTGCAATCAAGAAAGCAATATCAATTGCTGCACAGCTCAAAAAGAAAACCCTTATTTGCACAGACAATGCAATATCAAATGAACGTAATGAAGCTCACCTCTTTGTGTCAGATGCCAGTCTACAGCTACCAGTTACGACTTCTATGGGTACCCGGGCAGTCTGGAATAGAAGGCAATGTAAGAGCGGATCAAGCGGCCAAAGAATGCTTTTCGCTACCTCTAATAACAGAAGTCCCAATTCACTCAATTGTCATAACAAGAACGACAAAAGCGGTGCAGATGGAAGCCGAACTGAAAATCGCAGACGACCTCAGAACATTCCCACACAGGCATAATTTCGACATCCCTAGACATAATTACGACACTAAACTCACTCGTAATCAATGCATTAAGTTAGCCAGGCTTCGAACAGGCACTACATTCTTTAACACATCACACTTTTTCACCAAAACACTTCCACGAGCATGCTTTTTTTGTGCAACAACCCTCACAATAGAGCATGTATTAACAATCTGCCCTCACTCGTTATTAAAAAAAAGCATCAAGGAAATACTAAATTGCAGGTACAGCAACATTAAAGAAATAGAGGAAGCACTTCGTATACATCACCTCAATGAAGATACTTAACAAAATACACATATGTATTCTAAGGCGCTCAATGACCTAGACGTCCGGTGCCTATATCATACTTTGCAAATTCATTTGCAAACTATGCTAAATAAATAAATAAACAAATAATCTTGCAAATTTTATTTCTGAAACTGATTTCCGCAATGTAACAGGTAGGTTGTTGTTGTTGTTGTACCGGCTACATCAACCCCGCCCAGGACGGTTGGTATCTCAGTCGTTGTCGTCAAGTTCCACTAACGGCAGCCCCAGGAACCGTGCAGCTTCTGTGGGGTTGGTCCACAAGGACAAGGCCGTTAGGGTTGTCGGGTTTTCCGGGCATGCGAAGAGATGTTTCGAGTCATGTGGGGTCTCTCCGCATGCCGGACACTCATTTGGCACATCCTCATTCAATCTACTCAGGTAGGAGTTTAACCTGCTGCAGTAAACGGAGCGAAGTAACAGGAAGGTCTTTCTGGCTGTTTACACATCGAAATAAAATGTCTCCTTTTCAATTTGACAGTGAATTGCATGGAAATGGTTGCAAAATTATAGGTTGCAAAAATTATAAAAACACAATTCACGATAAAACTGGATTAAGCCTGTCTAAGTATAGCGGAAGAGAGATATCGTCCCGTTTCAGCCTTATCCACGTATCTCCAATTTTTGGGAAAACTAATATTACCACTTATAACAGCTGTTTAAGCGTCACACTATTTCAAAATAGAACAAAGACTTAATGAGGGTTGTTGTTGTTGTTGTTGTTGTTGTAGCGGCTACAACAACCCCGCCCAGATCGGCTGATATCTCAGTCGTTGTCGTCGAGTTCCACTAACGGCAGCCCCAAGAAGCGTACAGCCTCTATGGGGTCAGTCCATACCCCGCAAACATATTCTGAGCGTTCAGAATATATGAGTCCGAAAGGTGTCCTAGGTAGGTAAGAAATATGAGTTACAAAAACAAAAAATTGTTTACTCTTATATGAATCTTTTAGGATTCATATATGAGCCAAGTTATGAGCCAGCACCTTGTGCCAATATAAAAACAATAAAGATTTGAAATTTATATGTAAACTTGTTTATACCGAAATTGAAAATAATTAGAAAACAAAAAATGAACAAAATTTAGCTTCAGCTGCTGCTATTGAATGCATGTTGGAATGTGTATATGCATGTAAGTATGTATGTATGTTATTTGCAAGGACTTTTTGCGGAATGCCTTGCAAATATAGTGAGTTGAATAAGACTCAAAGAGCTACCTAAATTAAGAGTCCGAATGTAGCAATTTATGAGGCCGATAAGGGTCTCAAAAAGAGTCATATATGAGGCCAAAACTTGTTTTAAAAGAGTCCAAAATGAGCCGTATATGAGGCCAATAAAAGTCCAATATGACTCATATTGAGGCTCATTTGATGTATGAATTTAAGCTCATATAAGTCGACATTCGTAGGAAGGGAAACACACTCATATCGGACTCTTAAATGAGCTCATTATGAGCGTAGTAGCTCCGAAATAGGACTCCTTAAAGACTCATTTATGACTCCAAATGTTTGCTGGGTAGGGACGACGCCGTTAGGGTTGTGGGGTTTTCCGGGCATGCGAAGAGATGTTTCGAGTCGTGTGGGGTCACACCGCATGCCGGACATTCGTTCGGCACATCCGCAGGTAGGAATTTAGCCTGCTGCAGTAGCCAGAGCGAAGTTGGGCTATTGTCGTTCTGGTCTCCCGAGGCAGATGGAGCTCCGTCATGTCGATGTCCGGTGTTTGTGTGCCTAGAACGGCATTCACAGGTCTTGAGTCTACATAACTCGAGACTGCGTCCCTGTGAATGCCGTTCAGGGCCTGTCTGAGAGATGACGGGTCCAGAGGTTGCTTAATGAACCTCTGGACTTCGTCCGTCAGTTCATATAGATGCCTCCTGACGTGCCTCGGCGAGGGCTCCTCTGCAAGCAGCTGGCTATTTGGGTGGCCACATCTGTGGCTCCTAACAAGAAACTGCTTGCAGAGCATCGTGTTGTGCTCCCTAATTGGGAGCATTTTTGCCTCATCGTGGAGGTGGTGTTCTGGTGTCATCAGGAGGCATCCTGTCGCTGTCCTGTGTGCTGTATTTTGTACCGTCTGTAGCTTCGTCCACTGCGTCCTACTAGTCCCCGGCGACCACACTGGTGCTGCGTAGTTTACAACCGGCCGGCCTATAGCCTTGTATGTTGCCAGCAACGTTTCTTTGTCTTTGCCCCATGTACTGCCGGCTAGCGACTTGAGGACCTTGTTGCGGCTCTGTACTTTATTGACAATAGCGGTTGTGTGCGCAGAGAAGGAGAGCAGGCTGTCGAATGTTACTCCGAGTATTTTAGGATTATTCACCGTCGGAATTGGTGTCATCGACGTGAATTCCTAGCGGTAGCCTGACCTCCTTCGTCCAGGTCGTGAACAGGGTCGCAGAGGATTTCGTAGGGGAGAGGGCTAGACACTTTGCAGTGAAGAAGCGAGAAAGGTCAGAGAGATATCCGTTTACTTTCGAACACAAGTCATCAATTCCATTCCCAGTCGCCATGATCGAGCAATCGTCGGCGTAAGAGCCAATCGAAACTCCCTCTGGTGGTTGAGGGAGCTTTGAAATGTAAAAGTTAAACAGTAGTGGAGAAAGGACACCACCCTGTGGAACCCCCTGTTTTATTTTTCTAAGTTTGCTCGATTTGTCTATAAACATTACCGACGAGTGTCGACCACTCAGATAAATTGCCGACCACCGTTTGAGCCTCTGTGGGAGAGAGGAATGGCTGACAGTGTCAAAAGCCTTTGACAGGTCCAACGCTACTAGAATCGTTTTCTCACAGGGACGTTTACAGTTAGTGAGGGTGCTCACTACTGTTAGTGGAACCAGAAATATTAAGTAAAAAATGCGTTAATTGTATCCTAAGGGAAGATATTAAGCATTTTTTCTTACACTCTCTAAAATACCTCTATTGCAGATACGAGGTTAAGGCAGAAACGGGACGATATGTATATATAATTTGTTGGCTTACCTTAAAGTGACCAAGCACAAAATCGGCCTCTTCACTCGTAAATCCCGTAACAACAATTGCTTTCGGTCGGCGATCAACGCGCGTGGATCCTTCAGGAAATGAGGAGCGAGTTCGGGGATTTGCTCGGCTGGGAGGAAAATGCGTCACTTTGTCACTGGTTGGAGGCGTGTGAGAGGGAATAACACCAGCGGCACCACTTCCAGGAACTATTCCTAAACTGCGCTGAAGCTCTTCCAGACGTTTTTGTATGGCTGTTGTATCATTGCCCTCTTGCTGTTGAGCAATCAACTCGAGTTCTATGTCAAGCAACTCTTTTTTTTTGTTGCTCTTTAGTCTTTTTTAGTGGAGCCAGATGTTGATTTTGCATTTGTGCGTGGATTTGTTCTTGTTCTGCGGCAATCTCTTTACGTAATTTATCGATGGTTTCTTGTAAAACTTTGATAGTCTCAAGTGTTTTTGTACGTTGGGGATCATTTTGTTCACAACGTTCCACAATTTCCAACGCCGATTTCATTTGCTTTACGTAACTCTGCAAAAGTTCCTGTTTTCTTTTACGAAGGCCGTTGGCAAGTTGAACAACAGCTTTGGCTTGCTCTTCCTGCTTTCTACGGATAATGGCATTTGAAGCGCCCAAAGAGGGGCCGCGTGGCACATTATTTTTTAAGCGTAAAGATGTTGGCGGAACATGGGCAGCTGCAATGGGAGTGGTCACGCTTGTTACGTTTGAAGTATCATTCGTGGATGAAGTGGTCACTGTATTACCCGATGCCCCTGTGCTCTGATTTGAAACATTATCATTCGCAGTTTTTGCTGAGTCAGCGGTAGGGATTGGTACCGCAGGTACATTATTTAAATGATAATGACTATTTTTTCGGGCATTTCCTACAGGCATTGGAGCAACGTCATTTATTAATGAGCCTACTTCTTGACTGTGCCAAAACACTTTTATAAAGCGGTTATTAAGCACAGCCTCTGTACTGCGATATGCAACGTTTGCTTCTGCGTGTGCAGAAAACGTCACAATAGCCGCTTCTGGATCACCATCATAGGATATTTGTATATTTACAATTTTCCCAAATTTGGCGAAATGATTATTGAGATGTGCGATTGTATTTAGACCGCGTGGGATCTTTCGCAGTTCCAGAGAACAGTTATTTTGAATACTTGGTAAACGTGGTCCAAGACGATTGTTAAGTGGCATTTTACGTTTTGTTGGACTTTCGGCTATTGCTACTGAATCTTCCAATTCAAATCGTCGTTTTCTTGGCTGTATTTGACTTATATCAGCACCTGAATTGGTATTGCTTGCATCAACTACAGGGATTGGAATTAATTCTCGTTGAAGAGGAGCTGTTACTGCCGATGTGTTGAAAGGAAAAGGTAGCATGGGAGTACCTACTCTGAAACCTGCGCCTGTGTTAGAATTGCGGGTATATTCTGCGGCTACAGGGCTGTTGTTGGTTTGTTTATCCGCCCCAGAGCCAACTTGAGGAAAGGTTACAGAATCAGAAACTCCTGCTACGGGTAATATTCCTGCCCCCCTCGCAACACCGGTGAAGGGATTTATCCCAGTGGCACCAACACCACCTATAACTGATCCACTTGTCATTAGCGTATTTGGAGAAACTCCGACCACTGCTCCAGTCGTGGATCTCACCCACAAATCGGGTACATCTGGATTGTATTCTGGAAGTGACATACCTATTAACGCAGAATTATTTATGTCTTCAAATACCACGGGATTAATCCCATGGTCCCAAGGGCATGTCTCTCCCCTAACACAATATCCCTTTTCATCAAAATCACGACATCTTTGTCTCTTTTCCGAATCAAGTTGTCCATGCGCGTGGTGATTGTGACGATCTGGAGAGCCGCGAACATTTCGCGAAATATTTGGAGATACTTTACTTCTACCTCCACGTTCTGCAGATGGCGATCGACTTCTTGAATTCGAGCGATTTTGCCGATTTTTACGGCCGCCTTCTTCTCCAGCGCTGCCGACAAATCGAGGTGATCGTTCGCCTGAGTTAGTCGTATTACTAGCATTTCCAATTCGCCTGCGGTCACTACCACCTCCACCACCGCCCCGACGCCTGTCATGGTAACCCACATGCCTTAAATCAGTCATGGGCGGAGATTTATTACGAAATTGGCGTTGCATTTTTTCCCGTTCGTTTATTCGGCGGTCACGAGAGCGGGAACGACGAGATATCCTATCATTAGATCGTGATCGTGAGCGTGACCGCGAACGTGATCTAAGTGAAGCGCGTCGTCTTCGACTCTCACGTGGTTGATTCTCCTTATCAGCATTGGCCTTTAATGGAGGACTTGCACTACGTACATGGTGACTGTTACCGCCCGTGTATGTATGATGCGTTATCGAACCGACATTAGTCTCTAACTTAACTGTGGCAGTATAAGGCTCAATGCGGTCTGCCGTATCCGATTTATTGTTTTCGAAACTACTGTTGTTTAGCAATTCTTTGGTATTATTCTACAATTTTTGAAAAGGAAATTTTTATGACTATATTATCAGAGTAAAGATTTATTAAACCTACATCATCCCTTGTTGGTGTGTGATCCTTTTCATCACAAACGGTATCCGGCAGTTTATCTTGGGTATCTGCATGATTTTCTATTTCTTGATCCAAATCTTCCTTCGTGTCGTCATTGTTTTCCGGAACTCCGGCTTTTGCAGTAAAAGAATCTTCATTTATTTGTGTGGCAGGAAGTATAACGTTGCTAAAATAATCATCCGTGCTTATAGCTTCGAATAACCGTTCAACAAACGGTTTTGTCTCTTCAGCTAAGAACACATCCAATTGTTCTATCATCAATTTTTTTAATTCCTTTTCGGGTTTGTCCTTCTTCAACAGCGCTAACACGTAACGAGCTAGCGCAGATGAGTCTGCATCACATCTGCAAAATAAAAGGAGTTAGTATACTAAAGTTTAACGCATTTTTATAAGTACTTACAGAGGCTCCAGTACTACCACCAACCAACTTTTAAGGGACTCCTGGTTCTTTATAAGCATATCTAAAACTTGCCTTTCCGCGATAATTATGAAACCCCAAATATTCCTGATCTTTTATTACAATTGTATTTATATAGGCTTTTCCAGCTCCTCGTTGTTGTTGTTGTTGTAGCCAGCTCCTCGTGTCAAAATGCAGTTTTTAAATTAAACCCTCCGAGGTCTTCAAAACACACAATATGATGAAATATTATAAACACAACCTCGTACTACAAATATACTCTTTTTATTAAATAGGTAGATTAATTTTCTCTGGGGGTTCTTGTTTCGTATTGGTACGTCACTCGCAAAATTTGTGGCAAGTATAATTGCAACGAGTGAAAATTTTCTAGATTTTAATACTCGCTCACAAAACCATTACTACAGAGTTTCGAAAACAGCCCAATAAATCACTATCAAGTACATTACCACTATATACTGAAAAGGCTAGAGATTACCACTTGTTTCCAAAATATATGGAAAACTAAACTATATTTTCCTACCAAATGTAGATAGCCTCGTTGTACAGCGACTATATGAGCCAATTTAACAACGATTAGAATGGGTTGAAAATAATACTCGGTGAAAATACTCGATAAATTCTTCATCATTCCATAACTTTACACAGGATTTACACCGACCAGTGTTGACGCGCTTCCCTTTAGGCTTTCTGCACCTTGGTCGTCCAGTCATAGTTACTTCATCGTCACAATCATGATGAAACGATTACATGACGACTACACTTTCGCACACTCGTTCGAGATCTTTCAATTCATTTGGCGTCTAAGAATTCACTTGAAGCAGGTATTTCCTGTTTTTCTGGTTGATATTTTCGCGCAATATTTACGAAAACTTGCATTTTTAAAATATAGACTGTGCTGCAACAATTCTAGACATCATTTTTCAATAATATATCTTCTTGTCTTTTCCTGAAAAAAGTTTTGTGCATGCACACAGAGACTTTTTACAATTTCGTGATATTTGAAAGTTAAAACGCTCACATTTATTGAATCTTAATGCAATGATCCACTTTTTAATCATTTCCACAGATTTTATGCAAAAAATACTAATTTTTATGCAAATATTCACCTTTTCACTAATTTTTCCCCATAAAATGTAAACAAACAATGCGTGCACAACGATTAGCAAACGACAGTGCCGTACTTATCCGTTTCTGCATCTTCTACGATTTGCCGATAACTAGCAGATAACGACAGGTGTGCAGATCTCCTTTGAAATGCATGTGCTCGGCTCAAAATTTCAGGGCGAGACGATAACGCAACTATGATTGGACGACAAGTGTGGAGATAGCCTTAGTGGTAGCCAAATTCCTTTTAAAAAACGGCTAAAGAGAGCTAAAAAAATTCGTTGTTGCTAAAAATAGCAGCTAAAACTTTTTACTTACATAAATATATGTAGGTATATATATAAGAGGGCAAATTCACGACACCAGCTTGTTGCACCATCAAATGATTGTACCATCAGGCTCGAAGCCTCAGTATATACAGTAAAAAAAACTGTGGTGAAGTCGTTTATGGGGATAAAGTTTCCAGAGGTGAAATTTTAGGTAGCACACAATTTCTTACACGCATGGTTGCTTTTCAGCACTCATGAATGAAACTTAAGAAATATTTGAAAAAAAGTTCATATAGTACATTGATTTTTAAAAGAAATACCATATAATGTATATAGTCTGGTTAATATTATCAAAAAATGTATTAGAACAACCGTTTAATGTTATATTTGATACAAATTAAATTGCTGCCCCGAACGCTCTGCGCATTGCCACTGAATTAAACTATGTTCACTAAATTAAGTGCGTTCATACACGCGATTCTTTATTTGTCTTGACAGCTTTGTAGCAACCCTATGTTATTGTTTATTTAAACTATGTTCACATTACCAACATAAAATACTTAGTTTCGTTTAAAATACCTCACTAAATTAAGTGCGTTCATACACGCGATTCTTTATTTGTCTTGACAGCTTTGTAGCAACCCTGTGTTATTGTTTATTTAACCAAAAGAGATCGCGAATGTGAGTAATTGCGTATATTTTTATATTCTGAGTTGTTTGTGGTAATTTTTTAGATTTTAGATGAGTGATCAGAAGAGAAAGCTTCTGGAAATATTTTACAAACTACCACGCGCGATTATTAAAAACAAAACGTCCAAACACAATGACATATCAGTTATGAGACAAAACTTTTTTCGATTATTATCGATAAAATTAGAACCGACACTGATTTGTTCGTGATTTGGCTCTTGCCCTACAAGAACACTACGCGTTATATAACGAATCATGTAACGCAGAGTTGTAACGTAAATGCATGTTATACTCCCATAAAATGTTTACGTTAATTTCCTAAGGGCGACATGAAAAATCTAACAGGATATCGTGTTATACATATGTTATGTGTAACATATCTTTCCTGTACGCGTGTAAATTTTGGCATGTGGCTTTGAGTGTATTGGTGAAATATTTAAATGTATTGGAGACTGCCCTGCCAGCCAAAAGTGGTGAAAAATCTGGTGGAACCGCGGGTTTCGTTCACTTCAAAACTGGTGAAAAATCTGGTGAACTTTGTATGGGCGGTGTGCAGATTTTCACCAGTTTCCCCCTGTACGTGTGAGCCTTGCATCACTGTCGCACTCATTCAGATACTTCCTAAGGAAAACATATAGCTGCACTCGTCTAGCATTGCCCACTTCAGCTGGCGCAGGGTTGCATTCTCTTCACAGCGAATTCAAAATAACCTTAAAAACTTTAAATAAAAAACTTAAAATTTTTTTTGATTTTTATTTTGCAAAATTTATTTTTCAAAATGCATTGTTAACCTAATATACATAGTTAGTAATCAATATTATGAATAAAAATTACAATTAACATTAATAATAAAGATATTTTTACAGATATATGTGGCTGCTTAATTGCTTATTATTACTACTACTCCTTTGTATATAGCAGTTTTCAAAAGTTGCAGATTTTCTATAAAAAAGTTAAGCGATTTTAACAGTATTATAATCAAAAGAAAGGAAATCGATTTACCTTTCTTTTAATATATATTGACAGTTGAAAATCACTTGTACTGGTTCATAAAAATTCAGTTTTGTTAGAACTTTGCAAAATGTGACTTTTTCACTTCTTACATATAATGTTTTCAAAAGTTGCAAAATTTCTATAAACTAGCTAACCGATTTTAACAATATTATAATCAAAAGAAAAGTAATCGATTTACCTTTCTTTTAATATATATTAACAGTTGCAAATCATTTGTAATGGTGCACAAACATTCAGTTTCGTTACAACTTTGCAAAATTGTACCACTTTTTCACTGCTTATATATAGCTGTTTACAAAAGTTGCAAAGTTTTTATGAAAACGTAAAGCGATTTTAACGGTGTTATAATCAAAAGAAAGGTAATCGGTTTACCTTTCTTTTGATATAAATTAAGAGTTGCAAATCATTTATGGTGGTTCAGAAAAATTAAGTTTTCTTACAACTTTGCAAAATTTGACAAGTTGGACCTACACTTTGAAGGTGCTCCTGGCGTTGAAGGTGCTGAGGGCGGAAGGTACCCATGGTGCTCCTGGCGACGAAGGAGCTGAAGATAGAAGGTACTGGTGGTGCTCCTGGCGATGAAGAAGCTGAGGGCAGAAGGTTTTAATGGTGCTCCTGGCGATGAAGATGCAAGCGTTGAAGGTGCTGATGGTGAATCCCAAACTTGTAAACAAACAAAAATATCAATTCAAATTTATAAACATATAAAAAGTCTCAATACATACCTTAAGAATGTGACCAAGTCGCTGCTGTTTTGCAGTCTAAAAGAAGAAATTACATTATAATTAAATAAAATTGTTAAATACGTATCCTTACCTTCAAAATTTTCGCAAAGTGACATTTCTTCACAGTATGTATACTGTCATCAAAACTCCGATGTTTCTAACTTGCTCGCTCTAACGCATAGAATTCTTATTAGAGTACGAATTCTTATCGGGCATGTAGCTCTAACAAAGGGACATTTTTTTGACAGTTCGAACAAAAAATGTGTAAGTGTGTGGGTGAGATGACTAAAAAGTTGTGAATGTGTTTGTAAATCGTTTGAATTTCAGGGGAAAGTGGTGAGCCGTGGCTGGCAGGGTGCGTTAGTCGTGTCTGGTAGGGTGGTTTAAGATAATAGGGCATTCGCACGAGCGATTTTACAGGCAACAAAAGTTGAATACGAAGTTGAATGAGAAGTTGAAAGTGAAAAAGTTTCCATCCCTATTCAGACGAGGCGATTTTCGATACAACACGAATCGTTATTTACATTATTGAAAATGAATTTAAATCAAAATTTTATCAATTGGCGTAAATTTGGCAAGCCAAGCGTTGGTAGAAGTGCTTTTAACGAAGCTGAATGATAAAATAAGAGTAAAAAAGAAAAAAAGTATGTATAAAGAACAGTGCTGGCATTTTTGGTACAATTGTACTTGTTTGATACAATTTCATTTACAATATACTTTCTACTACGCAGTACTTTTTAGTACAATTTTGTAATGAATACTAAAAATATATAGCTCTGAAAATTCACAGCAAGAAATTTTTTGTATTCTCTTTTATTCGCCTGTTCGTATTTACCTTTGTAAGTTTTGAAAAATGGCTTGAACGAACCAATATAATATAGTCTAGGCAAATTTTTAAAGAAACTTTTCGATACTAAGTTTTATTAAAACAAAATGTCGAAGTCAGCTTCATATAGAAACAAAGTCTTCGTTAGTTATAAGAAGAGATTTCCTTAAATATAATACCTTTACGGCACTCACGTATTGACAAGATTTTACTATTTATTTTATTATTCTTTAATTTGAATTATCTGTATTCTTTAAGAAAAACTGTATAAACCCAAGATTAAATCTTTGCGAAACATCCAAAAACCAACATTTTTGCGTAAAATTTCGAGCTTTTTAATATTCTTTGGGCTAAAGCCCATTCAATTTTAGTATAATAAAGTGCAAGTTTAAAGTAGCTGGGACTTACTGTTTAACTTGGCAATTTTTTTTTGTCGACGATGTCAGCCATTTTCTTCCATACGAAGTGTGTTCGACGATTTTTTTATATGGAGAAAATTAGCAACACCTTCATCAAAGAAATCTTAAAAAACTTAGTCATATTAAAATTTAATGGGCTAAAAAACCGCACACTCAAAATAAATCTAGGATCTCGAATTAAAAAGCTCTAAGTTTTTACGAAAGTGTGTTAGTTTTTTTGATGTTGCACAAAGTTTGAACCTTGGATTTGGACGGCTTTCTTAAAATACAAACCGTATTTTTACAAACAATAATTAAAATTGAATAATATTAAGATAAATGGTCAAATCTTGTCGCAAAGTTTTGATAAGCACTTGAAATGCTATTAAAATGTCTAATTTTAGTACTGAATCCAAAGAAAATGTCTCTTTTATCTGTTAATAATAACTTAAATATGCTTTTTGTTAAGATGTATACCTGAAAATGTGTGCATACATATTTGCGTTAAATGCAGTACATAGGCACGTGGAATCAATTTGTTAAAGTGTAAAATACGTAAACGTATGTACATAAACAATAAAACTTTTGAATACCATAAAATCATTGGTCTTGAAGGGAATGTACTAAGAAAATATATGAGCGAATTAAAAAGTGTATACAATTTATAGCCGAAAAGTAAATTTTTTTTATAGAGCAAGGAAAAAAAGTTGAACGAGCTCAAAGTTGGCTGGCGACCAACTTTGTTGAAAGCGATTAGTTGAAAGGCCGTTCGGACGAGGCGATTTTTGCTTTCAACTAAAAGTTGCGTGGAAAATCGCCGCGTGCGAAAGCCCTATAAACTACGTACTTTCAACTTAATTTACTGACAGACTTTACAAGGCGAAATTACTTAGTTTGTACTTAATTTATGCGTAAATTAAGATTGACCTCTAAATTACGCCAATGGGAACATAGTTTAAAAGAGTTACTTGAAATTACATCCCTGGTCCTTGTTCTTTCTGTATCGCATCGTGGTGAATTCACATTTCTCAGAAATTTGACAACAAAACAAAACAAAGGGAGTATTTTATTTGCTAATTTTTGCGATTTCTATTGTTTAATGTAAATTTATGTCTTTTTAGGATATGTTGAGGCAACAAAGAAGGCGCAGTTGGAAGATGGAGTTATTAGTAATGAAGTAGCAGGCATATTTGGAAAATTATGCCGATAAGCAGGATGGAATTTGGGAAATTAAGTGCCTGGTTGCAGCATATCTATGTATTAAAAAAGTATTTAATTAAATGAAATTGTGTTTAATGGAAATGTTATAAATCGAGTGGCGTTATTTAAGATGTGCTCTAAACATTAGGCGGACTTTTTTCGCCTTCTCAACGTACTAAGTTACAAGTTAAGATGACTGCCACCACGGCCGGTAAAAGCAAAAGGCAAACAACCTTCCAGGAAGCTGCCTGCTGTCCCCGAGTCGGAGCTGTAGTTCAGCAAGAAGCAGGTCAGCAAACGTGCTACCTTGATCAAGCGTAAACTAAAGCGCTCTGCTGTGATTGCACTCGGCAAACGTGAAAACTTGGCGCATGCTGAGAAATATCAAGCAAAATATTCGTGATGGACACCGTGCGAACAAGTTGCGCCGCCTGCCAAAAAAAACGCGGCTCATTCTACTTGCCTGCAGAAGACAAATTGGATTTTGTGATCTGTATCCGCGGTATCAACAAAGTTGCACCAAAAGTGCGTAAAGTTTCACTGTTGTTCCGTTTTCGCCACATTAACTACGGTTAGTTCATCAAATTGAACCATTAATACGCTACGCATTGCCGAACCCTATATCACATGGGGTTATCCAAATATTAAATCAATTCGTGAATTGATCAACAAACGTGCAATTGTCAAGCACAACCATCAACGTGTCCTAATCTCTGACAACTTTGTGATCGAACGCAAATTGCGCAAAGAGCACGATATTCAGTGCGTTGATTATTTGGCGCACGAAATATTCACTATTGGATCCCACTTCACGAAAGAATCCCAACTTCCTGTGGCCATTCAAGCTCAACACCACCCGGTGGCTGACGCAAGAAGGAGAATCTCTACGTTGAGGTTGGTCGTTTCGGCAACCGTGAAGATAAGAGTAACAAACTCCTGCGCAAGATAGTTTAAAGAAATTTTTTGCTGTACAAGGTGGAGTATTTTTATTTCAAAAATATATAATAAATAAAAATAGAAAATGTTTTTTTTTTTTACTTTCTGAAGGTATAAACCGCAAATACACCAAATGGAAAGCAGCTTATCGGGCAGGTTCTGCAATTCACTTCCGAGTGAATCTCGACCCCTACCAACTTGAATTCAAAGCGCACTTGCCTCAAATTCACTCGGAAGTGAATTGCAGAACCTGCCGGTATATTCACAATTCCTTGAAAAATGTCGAAATTTATTGCCGGTTCTTAAGGCCATTTCAAAAGGCTCCAATCCACAAATTTAATTATTTGTTTTGGGTTTTCAGCTCAATAATGATGCACCCAGGGTTTCATTTACCGTCTATGAAAATATTTCATGATGCGTTCCAAAAAGCTTAAGTGAAATAGTTTTCTATTAAATATTTATTTCTGGTACTTTAAAAAAAATCTGATCAATATTAATGTATGAAATGAAGTAAATAAAAATCTACGAATACATTTCTGGAATATTTTGTCATAGAGCCATTATCAAATACAGACACAACTTTGTCGGGCGTTGGTTTTGACGTATATAGAATTAATGCGTTAGAGAGAGATAAAATACAAGCTCAACGCGCTAATTTAGGTATACTTGTATGTATCAAGAATGATAGAATACAAGATTGCGCCGTCCTGGGCGTTGACATTTGTGTACCACAAGTAAACAAAGAATAGAGCGAAAAGAAGAACGAGTTGAAACTGCCAAAGCAGTTCACTTTGCAGCAAAAAACGTGTTTTAATTCTACTAATTTCGAAAATATTGCATTTTTCACCAAATCTATTAGAGAACAGTGAAAATTTTAGTGCACTCCATTGCTTTGCAATTGAGGCTGCTTCAGCACACGTTTTAGTGCACTCCATTGCTTTGCAATTAAGGCTGCTGCAGAAAACCGCGGCAGCATCTCAGCGGGATTGATTAGTTAACTTGCTAATTGAGGCTGCTTGGAGCAGAAGCAAAATCATTGTGAGGAAATGCTGTTATTGTAATAATAAAGAAACATTTCGGAAACGGCTTTGCCGTGCCCTATGTACACAAAATGCAGCGATTCGTCCAAGCGCTACACTTGCATCTACGCATCTTGCATCTTGATAGCTGTCGCAATTTAGCACACAGCACTTCTTTTTATTAGATTTTACGCAGTCTTCAACTCAAAAATCACTCACAAATTGCAAATTAACACAATTTCAACTGATTTTTCACTTATAATTCAAATTCTCTTTCGCTGATTTGTAAACAAAGGTTTATTTACAAGTTACCACAACTGTCAAAATCGGCGAAACCAAAGTAGCGGTACCACTGACGGCGCCACCTTTGTTCGCTGCACCGTGTGTATGTATATACCTGTTACTCGTATGGCATATACTCGAACTGCGAAAATAATGACAATTATAATTTATTTAGATGCATATTTTAGCTAAATGTTATATCGTCGCCTGGATAAAAGTTTGGTACAAGTTACTTTCGGTAACTCGCGATTGAAGTTTGGAATGCAATTTCTCAGAAACACGAATACAGATTTTCTCCAAAGAGTCTGAGAATGCTATGTACTAGTTCACGAGATCCTTAAATTATCTTATTTTTGTAGTTTAGTGTCAACCATTTAAGAGTTTAATAAAATTTTGTCGTATACGACATTTGTCAAAAAATTTGCAATCAGTTTTAATTATATATGCCAAAATGAGATAACACTTTTTTATAAATTAACGATACTTTTTACTAATCAGCCTAATCGTGAGTTTCGCCCGAACAAAATTTCGCCTGTAGTGAATACACGCAAACGAAAAGTGAAAAAGTGACCCGATTCTAGAAAATGAAACTCATGATAAGGCTGAATATGTCGGAAACTAAAGAAGAACAGATAACTCCATTTGTAATATCTTGTCTTAGTCAATTACTCGTAAACTAAAGAAGATATCCAAAAACCAGTTAACAAAAAATCGAAATATCTTACTTTAAAATATATAACTGCATCTATAACTACAAATTGTCAAAATGACGCTTCCGGCAATTTTCCATCCAAGCGACGATATTTGAATGTTCCTCGCATAATTTCAGCCTGTATGTAAATTTTCGGGGAAAAAGTTAAAAAGTATATTAATCTGCTGAAAAGATATTTTCGCAGATTCACATTTTCTTTAAAGTAAATCTATCATCACTATCTCCAATTCCATGTGAATAAATCTCTCCAGTCTTAAATAATTTTCACCACATTAAATAGCTGCACAACACCCTAATTGCCGAAAAAGCGTTGCTTGCAACACTAGTCCTTTATGGGGACCAAATTTGGTGAAAAAAAAACAGCTAAGTTTGTTTACTGGATATACTGAGCTCGAAGCACATACCATACCAGCTTGCTGGTACAATATTTATTTCTTTACAAATGAGCTCCAAAGAAGACCGAAATGATTAGAGACAAGATTTTATAATTTTTATACAAGCATGGCAAGAAATTTCCGGTAAAAAACTGAAAAACTGCTCCAGCAGCCGCACCACAAGAACACACACGGTCAATCCGCTGGCCCCATCCCTTGATGGCGCCAGCATGCTGGTATCATCCGTGAGCCTTTTAACACATTAAGGGCCGGTTGTTCAATGTCTGATTAGCACAAATCGGAGGTAGAAGCTCCGATTAAGTACAACGACTGCTTTATCGATCACATGTTACATGCATGATGTCGAAATCGTCGATAGTGTAGTGGTATTGATAACCAAACATTGAACAACCGGCCCTAAGCATATTTGGGGTCATGATAAAAACATTACAAGGTAAATTTATTCTCTAAATTTGTCGGCCATAATATTTTTTCTGACGTTTGCCAACATTTTAAAATCATATAAAATTGAAAATAAAACAAGTAAAAAGGGGCTGTCTTCGGCTATGCCGAAGCCTTCATACCTTTCATGAAAATAAAAAAGCTGTCTTTCATCTACTACTTGTTACTAAATTTTCAGCGTAAAAATATTCAATATGAAAATACTATTTATTTTTTTATAAATATCTAATAAATATTTACATCGTACATACAAATTTCCTCATGTGCTCAGTTAATTTTTATACCCGAGCGCACTTGTGCACAAGGGCATATTAACTTTGTTCACATAACTCTTGTTTGTAACAGCCAAAACGAATCGAGATAGATATAGACAAATGTATACATAAATGCTCAGAATGGATAGAGATGCCGATTAAGCCATGCCTGTCTGTCCGTCCGTCTGTCCGTCCGTCGGTGTACACGATAACTCGAGCAAAAATTAAGATATCTCAACGAAATTTGGTATGTAGGTTTCCATTTATCCAAGGTAGGTTGGTGTTGAAAATGGGCTAAATCGGACTGTAACCACGACCACTTCCCATATAACGGTAATTTTCAGAAATACGAAAACTGCGATATTTTAGTAACTACTGAAGATTATTCACTCAAAATTGATATTTACAATAACTTTTAGACGAAAAATAAGAATATTATATATTTTTGGAAAATGGGCGTAGCCACGCCCCACTTATGGTTACATGTGTACATCTTGGTAACCGCTGCACCAATTTCTTCCAAACTTGGCACAGTTGTTGGCCTTAGCACAGCATACCAAATGGCCGACCATTTTTAAATCGGACGATAACCACGCCTACATCCCATATAACGGTAATTTAGAATTAATATAATAACATTAATCGCCAACACTAAAAAATATCCAGTCATGGTCGCTGAATGAGGTTTCATATGTTATCGCCCTTGTTCTGTCTGCAGAAAAACTTGCCAATAACCAATCAATCGCGGTTTGTTGCTTTGTAGTAGGAATATGTTCCAGTAAGAATGCAATCCTAGTTGGCTCAAGCGCGTTCCAAGAACATCATTTGACGTAATGCGACAGACATTAAAGTCTCCAACAACTATTAATTCTCCATTATTTCTATTACTCAGCTCCTTTATATCTTCTTCCAATATTCTTCTAAATGCTGGTAATGAAAAAGATGGATTTCTGTATACTACAGCGATTGCCAAGTCTGGTTTTGATATCGCCAGAAACTGATACACTTTTCCGGCTACATGATGACTTTTAATGAAACTTGTGGTAAAGCAACTTTCATGACCAGTCTTACAGTAAATTATTACTCCATTCCGTGAGCGGCTTTGTCCAGTCTCAGTTGCTCCATCGATACGCGCCACAATACTATAGCCTTCGATTTGTGATTCTTCTTCTGGGCGGGTCCAAGTCTCGGCAAAACAAATGATATCCGCTGAACAAATAAGGTGGTCACTTCTAATGTCATCGATATGCTTTCTTAAGCTTCTTATGTTTTGATAGTACAATAGAAGAGTGTTATCTGGGCGCTCAGTTGCAAATTTGTAGTGCGTCTCTAATTTTTTTAATGTCCGAAGTATATTCAGGTGTGCTTGGACTACTTCGTTGCCTCCAAAAGGTCTAGGTGGAATAAAATTACCTACAATAAATAGTCCTGAAGCATTTGTTGCTCTACTGCATCCGACGTACAAAGCTGATCGGCTCATTCCCTTCTTAGTATGAATAGCAACCAATCTGTAAGTTGCTCCTTGGCTTTTGGGTATTGTTATTGCCTCTGCTGGTATTATAGGGAACTGCCTTCTTTCTATCGAGACTTGTTCGTTTCTTCTATATTGGAAGGTGCGCACTACTTTTTCAATTGGTGTCCAGCTCGATTCGTGGGGGTGAGGCTTTTTGGAACGTGCTATTACTCCAATTCCTGGCTCGGAAAAGTGCATCCAAAGAATTACTGGTGTCCGTTCGGGGCCTCGATGGTCAATTTGCATTAGTCGGCCCGTAGCTCCATTTACCAAACCATCTGCAGTATTAATGTTGACCGCAATCATGTATTTTGCAGAGGTTTTCAGTTGTAAACCGTAGCACATTCCTTGTGTCTCCGATATTTTAAAATTCTTAATGGCATCCAATATAACCGTTTTACTTCGCTCCGAAAGAGACTTCGCCTTCATACTGTCTTTCGCTGTAGAGATAAACTCTTCTGTGGCGATTT